TAGTAACAGCAATGCATTATAGGAATCTTATTAGCTTTACATATATTTCACCTTGATATATAAATATACTAATTCTTTTCCTATTTGATATTATCATTTAATAAAAAAAAAAAAAAAAAAAAAAAAAAAAAAAGATATATTTCTGTATAGTAGTAAAAAGAAATTTTTGAAATATAATAATATATCTAATAATAAAAGTTAGTACAAAATAAATAGAAAAAAAAAATTACTATTAAGAATATATTATTTTTTTTTAATAAAATAAATATAAAAATTAATATTACTATTAGATTAATAGCATTTTAAAAATAAAAAATATAAATATAAATACTTAGTTCTAAGTTTTATAAATAAAAAGATATTAAAATCTAATGATCTTAATATAGTAGTTAGATTGCCAGATTGCAATACAAGATGTCTAAAATTCAAATCTTATTGTTGATAAATTTGAATAATTACCTAGATCTTTGTACTTAATTTACAATAAACTTTGTTTGTTTCTGAGGTTGTAACTCTATAAATCATATTATACTAATATCATTTAGATATTAGAAGTATAACATAATATTGTATGAATAAATTATAATAAGATCTATGAGCAAGAAACTTGTATAATAGAAACTCAAGTTGGTTAGCTTTTAACAATTATATTAGCTAATACTTAATTCAGAAAGAAACTGTTATTTAAAAGATGCAAATTGAGTTAGATCCAAGTAAGTCTGTTCTATAGAGAGGATCAGCAATACTAACTTGGCTTAGTAGCTAAATAGATTTGAGAAGATCTACCTCATAAAACATTAGAAGAGATTAGTAAATAATATCAGTGAAGAGCTATAGTAAGAACTAAGATTATATAAATATTGCAAAAATTTAAACTAGGTGAATCTGTAAAATAGATACAAACTACTTTAGTAAGTATATTTTAAAGTTAATTGGCTCTGCAGATACTACAATATGTTGAGTATAGTATAACCTGTAATGATCTAAGCTAAGTTAGATAAATAGATCTGTAATGAGCTAGCTAGCTTAAGTAGTTAGATATTATAGTAATATTAGTAAGTACTGATATAAGTTAATTAAACAGAGTATTTAAATAGATAACTTACAAGTTAGTTACAGATATAGTAGCTTGTATAGAACTAATCAGATGATCTACTTATATAGTAGACTACTTAAAATAGATAATAACTAAAGTTGTATATATAATAGGTTGTATACTCTTTATGTAATTATAAACTGTAAAAGATTATCAATAGATAATCTCATATATATTAACTAATAAAATTAATAATTTAGAGTATTTTTTGATAAAATTAAAAAATTATTATTTTGTTTAATCAATATTTAAAATTAAAACAAAAAATTAATAAACTAATATATATTATGATTTTTGAAAATAACTTTATTTGTCTAGTAATCTTAGTATAGGAATTAGAATACTAGACTACTATACAAATAATCTAAAGTTCAAATCTCACTGTTAATAAATTTAAATAATTATTCAGATCTTTATATTTAACTTTTAGTAAACTCTGTTTTTGAAATTTTAACTCTGTAAATTAAATTACATCAAGTTGATTAAATATTAAAAGTATGATATAATGTTATATAAATAAATCTTAATATGATCTATAGGCAAAGAACCTATATAGTAAAAATTCTAAGTAAGTTAAATAGTATAATTTTTAATAGTTATACTAGTAAAATCTAAAAAAGAAAACTCAAATATGAAGATATAAGTAAGTCTGATTTGTTAATTACAATATTAATCTAACTAAATAAATAACTAGATTTGAAAGAATCTGATTATTTAGAGAGTACAAAATACTAGTAAAAATATAAAAAGTTGTAATTAGATTATATGAATATTATAAAAATTTAATCTAAATAAACTTATAAAATAAGTATAAACTACTCTAGTAGGTTTGTTTTGAGGTTAACTGACTTTGCAATATCTATAATATGTTAGATATAATATAATCTGAGAAAACTTAAGCTAATTTGAATAAATAGATCTATAACAAGTTAACTAATTTAAATAATTAGATATTGTAATAATATTAAAGTTGGATCTATATATGTTAATAAATAGAGTATTTAAATAGATAACAAATAAGTTACAAGTATAGCAACATAGTATAAAACTAATTAAGTAATCTAATTACATATGCAGCAGACTACTTAAAATAGACAATAACTAAATTTGTATATGTAGCTTATTAAATACTCTTCATGTAATTACAAACAGTAGTGTATAATCCTGTATGCAAAACTAATAAAATTCTATTGCTTCAGTTTATTTATTAATAGATACAAATATCATGTTTTAGCATGATAATTGTCCAATTCATACTGCAATGATCATTATCAAATAACTTAAGGGTAGGGTGTAATATTTAAAATTATATATAAACTTGATAGTATATTTTTTTTATAACTCGAATTACAAAAATTTTTACTAATTAAATATTTTTTGAGCTTTTAAGTAAACTTGTAGAGCAGATTCTTGTGATTCTAACAGTAGTAAAATTAATAAAATTGGTTTAAAACTCATCGATATATGAATTTTTAAAGATTCGATATAAAAATTTACTATTAAAATTCTTTTATAGCTTTCAGAAATTAGCCAATTAAAGTTGTCTTCTTTGTGTAACCAGGGAAAAACATAGAGTGTCCAGAGAAAATTCAAGATATATACAAATATAATTTTTTAAATTAAATATCTTATAAAATTTTAATATAATAAATTACTTATTTAAATCTATATATTATTGAATTTTAATAAAAATTAATTAAAAAATAAAAAAGTTTTACTAGTAACATATTTTAATTTACTATATAAAAATCCAATATACTATCTAGATTATATGAAAAATAATCTACATACACCCTACCCTTAAAGAAGATCGAAATATTAAAGTGGTCATCAAAGTTTCCTAACTTTAACCCCATTAGAAATTGCTAAAGAACAATGTTCAGAAACAAAAAAAAAACTTCTCAAAAAACGTTGAAGATCTTAAGGTTACATTAAAGAAAAAGTGAAAAAAACTTGATGTATCGATTCTTCTAGCGTTGTAAACTCAATGCCACGAAGAATCCAGGCAGTATTGGATGTTCATAGTTATTCGACCAAATATTAACCGTTTTTTTAAAAAAATTTTAATGTATATAATAAAAAATTAAATAAAATGTTTTTTTTTGTTTGATCTGCAAATACCTAATTTTTTATCACGATCTCACCAAGGCACGATACCTCATATTATAACTTTTTACAATCTGCTCGATTTATTGATAACAGCCTCTATAATGTTATTTAAAAAATTTTTATACGAAAAAAAAATAAAAATGCTTTAAAAATTTTTTTCAATTGTAAATGCATTTACCAAATATACGCTTGTTGTTTATCTTATCTAATGTAATTTTTAATATCTTATTATTTAATATTCCCATTGATTTAATGATTTTCCAAAATCTATATTTTTATATAATATATAATATACATAAATGTACTAATACTAGCTATAATTAAAATATAAATTACTTTTGAGGGAAAAAAATATTCTTTTTTTTTCCTGTTTTTGTAAAAAATCTCCTTCAAAAAATTTATCGTCTACATGAAAATAGTATCTTTCCCCACCATATCAACAATTCTCATTCCGTTATTATTTAAAAGCGCATACATTCTTGCTGGTACTGGCGTTGGCCTAAGACAAGTTGTTTGCAAAACAAATTCTCGCGTCGTTGGTTGCGGAAATGAATCATTAAGTGGAGCTGTATTTTTAGATAAGAGTTATATTACAAGTTTTTGTAAATCTTGAATGTACACGAATTCTATTTATTTATTCACATACCACCAGAAGCAAACAACTCGTATACGCTTTCACGTTCTTTACCATCAGAAACTTGACTTTCTGGCATCTCCAAAAGTTTTTCGACAAGAGAATATTGTTTAGGTAACTATAAATTATTCTGATTAGTTATGATGAAATTTTTGTAAAAATAAATTATCACATGATAATTGATTACCTTTCGCAAGAGTGAAATTGCTTTACCCATCAACAATTCATTTTGTCGGATTAGCTGAATTACCCCATCGTATGATATATCCTCTGATCTATCATTATATAAGATTTGCTCGTTGGTTATTGTGACAAGTTATTGGAAACTTACAAATATTTATTTACCCTATATTATTCCATGGAAATTTAACTAGTTCCTTTGTCAATTTCTCCAAACCGGATGCTACTTGTTTAATATTTTTAGAGACAGGATGAGATACTAATGTGTCATATGCGATGAGGAATATTGCAGGCAAGAGCCTGATTTTGTAATAAACATATATAAGACGTTATGCAATATCTCAAAAATTCTGTATAAATAGTAATAAAATAAAGTAAAGACCAACATTTTAAATAAATCTTTCACGGGCAAATGCTCCAAATAATGAAGTGCCTAAATATAAATTTTAGTTAATTATATGATAAAATTATTATTTTCAATTAAATTAGATAACTATATTATACCTTTTCTGCTTCCAATGAATATTTAAATAATGGATTTTGACGAACCGCGGGTATTCGTTGAGCACTCTATATATTTTAAATAATTATGTTTACGAATAATTCAACAGGCCATAAAATATTTGCAATGTATACTACTTTACCTTCCACAATTCTTGCCATAAATTGCCTTCTTCCAACATTCGTTGGCTAAGAGTTCCTTTTTTTGGATCGCTTTCATTGGGTATCCAATCACGTGGAGAATGCCATCGAACAAAATCTTCCAATATTGCATGAGGGTTTGCTGCTTTGAAAGCCTGCATATCTGAGAGTAAAATTTAAAAGATCAGTTCAGTTGAACATCAAAATATTCAATGGATAAAGTGCTTACCAGACATTAAATGCGCGGATTGCATTTTAGCTCGTAATTTAGCAGCGTCTTCTGACGTGCCCAATTTTTCAAATATTTCTTCTTGTTCACTCAGCATATCTTCAGTCATGAAACCAACTTCCTATAAATATTAGCGTTATTAAAAGCGATATCGAGTATCATTAACAAACAAAATTACACACCTGAGTTTCTGGTACCCATAAAGGCTCACCAGTTTCTAACAAGGTGAGACCATTAAACGGACGTAAATGACCTTCTCTTTCGTTTTCATCATTTACCTCTCTACGAACTTCATATTCGTTTATTGTAAGTTTTTCTTTATCAAATCCTTTATTTGATTCCATACTTGCTGAATAATCAAGTTCTACGTAAGATTCTGTTAAGGATGAATTTTGATTTGGATCTGATTGATCAGGAAATAACGGTGGTGTGAATGAATAAGTTCGACCCTGGGAAAATGAAGATAACCGTCGTGAATTAAATTGATTAGAATTCGAACTCCTGGGAATTTTTAGAGGAACGGCTGGGACCTCGTCTATAGGATCAACAAAATCTTCTTCTGAAGAACCATCATAATCTTGAGGCAATGACTCAAAATCTAAGCTGGGAGAATGAACATGCTAAAGATAAATTACAATAAATATTTTAAGTATTAAATTAGAGCGAAATAATGGTAAAAACACTACATCATCTTACATTCGAATATTTCCCTCCATTAGTGGTCGTAGTTGTTGTGCTTACTATATCAGTGTGGCTAGTACCATTCGAATTCTCAGGTCTCACAACTACCATTGATGCTGAAGGATCTATATTAATTTCATCATCCTCTGTAATGTGATCAAAGAATCGAACCAGAAAATTATCTGGACTCGTCCTTTTTGATTCCATGACAGATTTATTTGGTTTTATAGATCCGGATCCTGATGACTCAAAAGAATTACCTTCGAGTAATCGTTCTTTAGATGAATTAAGACTTGTAGATAATGTCAAGTTATTTTTTCGAGATTGTCGTAGACGTTCAATGCAACAATTAATCATGCATAACTTTTGATGAACAAGATTGTATCGCATATCAATTCCAATGGTGGTATTTCCTTTTTTATCGAAAGATAGTCCATTTTTATTGTCAGTAGTTGAAGAAGTATTATTATCTCGATAAGAAGACGAAGAATTTGAATCATCAGACCAATTATGTATACTAATATCGGGTATCGGTTCGTTTCGCTCCCAATGCCACCGGATACGCTTAAGAACTTCGTTCCAAACTATTTTCAATGATCCTAGAAGAGAATAACTTCGGAAATTGGATGCTCTAGAAACCGTTTCTAATAAATATTCAAGGAAATTCCACATAAAAGACTTATATGGCACAGTTCTCGTATGATGAAAATGAAGGCCTAGTGTTGCCGCAGAAAACAGAGAGATACCACTTAAAGTCTTGATTTTTTCAGAATTATAATATGGAACAGACCCTTTCTTTCGTGATACATCAAATAATGCCTGCAATATATTATCGATATCCGAATCATCCATGTCAACAATTACACCAGTAGATTGTCGGACATATCGAGCTGTTTCGAACAAATCATAATCATTAAAGCTACCTGGCAAATCACGATTAGGTATTTTTCTTAGTTCTCTGTTGCGATTGCCATTATTTGTTTCTGGGTGCCTAATGCCACTATCAATAACCCAGGAAGAAATTGCGCTATCTATAAGGCTAGACAATAAGCCATGCAAGTTACTTTCTTGATGAAATTTGCATTTTAACAACCAAATAGAAGCTCTCATGGCATCCATCTCAGAATAAACATCATTGTCTAAATATGTGTTGCTTGGTGCAGAAGGAAAAAATGCGGTAAGCGACATTGATACAAATGGATCATTAGGTGGGCCGAAAGGTAAATTTGTTAATGAAACAACTGGTGAAACAAATTCATCAGATGTTTGTGAATAAGATATATCCTTTTTATCTCCATTGTTAAATATACTGCCATTTTGCCCTTCAAATTCTTTGAAAAAATCATCTTCAAATGAAACATTTTTGCCATTCGAATTATTAAGAGAAACTGGTTGAATATCATCATAATCAAAAGTTTTCCAATCTTGATCATCCCAATTTTGTAATTCATAAGTGAGTAAACCAGCAACGGAAATCCCAAGATGAGGCATCTTGTCTAATTTAGGCTCATCAACTTGATCTGTTTAACCAAAATCATATGATTGTCAGATCTAGGTATATGTTATCGATTAAATCTAATTTTCGTATTAGCAGATAGAATAAAAAAATCTTGATGAATTTTTTTTTTTTTCTTTTTTTTTTTCAAATGACTTACCGAATGGTAATTGATTTAAATCCATTTTCTCGGTAAAGAGATCTGTCAAACCCGCCAAATGAGAATAGTGAGATGGGATTTCCCGACTATAAGTAGTATTAAATCTTATTTCTACTTCACTAGCATAATCTATATTTTTGGACCCATCTTTATTAAACAAGCACATATAACCGGCATATAATAAATTTGTAATTTGACCAGTTGGAACAAAAACGGGAAGTTTACATTTTGTATTATGAAATACAATAGCAAAAGATGAAAGAAGAATTTTTGTGGTACTAAGATCAATTGTACTAGATTTTGTAATGGATCCAGAAGAAAAAATATCGGTTGGAGTCAAAACCAAAATATGAGTAAGACCAGTCCATCGATGAATTGTATTTAAATTTACCGATGAAAAGTCGTATGAAGTATTTGGAAGAGAGAGTGGAAGAAATTCAGAACTAGGTGAAAACGGATCAGGATTTGGAGGAAAAAGCGTTGTCGTAGGTGGAGGTGGAAAATGTTGTGAAGGAGCACTGCTTGTAGAGTGTGAATTATTTATATCAAATTCATTCCAGCGTTTTATTGGGTGATAATGATAAGATAAAGTATATGATTTATCCTCAAGAACAATTATTTCTCGTTTCACAAAAGGATCAATGCCCCCAACCGTTTTAGTATATGCTTTATGACCAAGAGGTGGTAAGTTCGAATCGTCAAATATTCCAAGTTGGCCGTCTGTTACTCTCCAGCCCACTAATATATCTTCAACAGTAGTTATAAAACGTTCCCAATGTGAAGCTGCTGTATAGTCGACAAACTCAAAATGTTCATCGTCATCAATAGGAGAGGTTGGACAAGAGACATCCATTTGTTAAGAAACGGCTTCTATGATATTGAATTATCGGTACACATATAATGTTATTGTGATATTGTTGGGCGAAGAAAAAAAAAATCATTTATATATTCAGGAACTTGTGTAATGTACACGTATACGTACACGTATTATTTCTATTGTATTTTTCAACCAATCAGGAAAAGATAACTACTAAGTGACCGGGATTAATAACGATAACGATAATAATTAAAATACGACAGGGTGAAACCCGCGCAAAATCCACTAAATCAGGTGAAATCCGCGTTGATCATTTAAAATATGTAAAACCCGCGTAAAACCCGCTTGAATATATAAAACTCGTTTTTGAATATGTAAAATCCGACATTATGATCTTAACTTTAAGTGAAGATATCCCAGCAACCACCTGATCAAATTCGATAAAAATTTTTTTAATTAAATTCTATAAATCCATAGAATTCGAACAAAAAAATTTTCATCAAATTTGTCAGGTGATTGCTGAGATATCTTCGCTCAAAGTTTTAGAGAAAATTTGGCGTAGCTTTTATTTTGATAGACGTTTTGATTGTTTGAGCGAAGATATCTCAACAACCACCTGATCAAATTCGATGATATTTTTTTTGTTTGAATTCTATGGATCCATAGGATTTAAATAAAAAAACTTTTTCATTGAATTTGACCAGGTGGTCGTTGGGATATCTTCGCTTAAAATTAAGATCATTATATCGAATTTTACATATTCACATATTTTAAATGATCAACGCGGATTTCACCTGATTTAGCCAATCAACGCGGATTTTACTCGGGTTTCACTCTGTCGTATTAAAATATTTAAAAATTTTTATATAGCCTGATACTCATAGCTTCAGTGTTGGCAAATGACCTAAGTCATAACATTTTTTTAATATGATCTTAGTCATATAATCATATGACTTGTCATAGGTCATATTAAATAATAGTAAAAAAAATTTTTCTATATTAAAAAGGTCATTATGACTATGACAGGTCATTTAAGGTCATCTGCCAACGCTGCATAGCTTAGTTGTTAAGCTACAGACATCTAAAAACAAAAAACTAAGATACAAAATCTTGGAATAAAAAAGAATTTATTAGAAGTAGTTTATTTTGTAAAGTGTTAATTATTACCGTTACAATCTAATAATTTGGCTAATTTTGCACCATGCGATACTCTTTTCAAGATCAGGTGTAACGTAAAAAATGGCGAAAAAAAACCACTTTTTTTAAAAAATTTCCAATAGCTCAAAATTTTACATAGGAAACAACCTTTCATTTTCTAACTAAAAAAATTCCTTGCAAAATTTTGATGTAAGATATGCCCGCTCTAACCTTAAATCGAACTTGCTCTAACCCTAACTAAATCGAAGTAAAACGTTTTGTTTTGATTTTACGTTACATCTGGATTATAGGTGTGCGTGTAGCATGGGCGATATACGTATACATTTATTCATTTTAAAATATATAATGATAAACATAAATACATACATAATATATCGATATTATAATCTAGTTTACAAAATATGATATTATATAAAATAGCAAAGTTAGATTTTAGATTATAAAAAACAAAAAAATAATACAAGTTTAAATTTAATTATAAAAATTAGGTATTATAATTTTACTTTTCAAAAAAAAAAAAAGAAAAAATATATTTAGCAGCGGGTGGTTTCGATCCACCGACCTCGGGGTTATGAGCCCCGCGCGCTTCCTCTGCGCTACGCTGCTTTAGTCATGATAAAAGATGAAAATTAATTTTATTGAAATGAGTCATAATCAAATAATTTGCATGGCGTAAATTCATAATAAAACATGTGCGTTACACAATTCCGATAAAATTTTTTGACGAATCACGATATGACTAGTGTCAAAAATTCGGTAACGATATTGTGTAAATTATAAAAAAGAATGTTTTCACTTCACAATTTTCTACTGACAACGTCATCAACTTATTTTTACTGGTACACGTCACAAGTTATTAATTTCTAGACCAGTAAAAATAAGTTGACGACGTTTATCAGTAGGATATAAACTATTACAAATCCTTTACAAGAAATGGCAAGCTACTCTACTGATGAGATATATACAAATAAAGGTGAAACTCGTCAAGTCGATGGTGATAATGTAATGACAATGCTAATGATTTTGGCGCGTTGTTAGTGGCTCCATTCGACGGAGGAGAAGTGCGGTTAATGAATGACAAAAAATTACCGATGCCCTGAATTATAAACGTGTATAACTGCTTCGATTATAGTTGTTAGGAAATGGCGAAACTGGCGAAAGATGACGAAACTGGCGAAAGGTGACGAAACTGGCGAAAGGTGACGAAACTGACAAATAGTGATTTAATAACCGACCAAGCCGGCCTGCACTAGCATAATGCAGGCCAAAATTTTATGCGCTGATTTTTCTTGGATCCGTATCATTTCACCGACAATCATTTCATCGACAGCTCGTTTAGCCGACATCACGCCAAGTGACAATTTACTAAAAATATATACCTGAAACTAATAAAACCCTAACCCTAACCCCATGTGATGTCGGCTAAATGAAATGACTGTCGGTGAAGTGAGCGGCACCGATTTTTCTTGGGGTCACCATATAGGCTGAAATTTTTAGTTGGAATACAAAATTGTGATACGTACTCGTAAACAGCTTAGCTCAGTTCGGAACACTACTCATAAATTGGATATAAGCAACTGATCCAGTAATCACACTATATTTTATATTTAATATCATTGTTTCACTGTTTTTTTTTAATGTTTAGTTAGATTTTAGGGTTAGGGTTATTAATAAAAGAGTATATGTGGATTTTAGCAAGTATTATAGATTTTAATATGGATCTAAAATCTCAGCATAAGCCGCCACATTTAGTTTGGCTGACATTAATGCTAAGAGAGAAAGACTCCGAAAAGTTCTAAGGTAGACTATGAATGAATATAAAAAAACGAGCAAGGTTGAGGAAAATTTTAGAAAGAATAAGCCGAAAGATATCGGTTTAGTCAATTAAAATTTTTATTCTTTGCTGTAACTTATCTGAGATTTATAAATTACGGTAATTTTACAGCCCTGCGTATAATGCGCATGAAATTTGAAAAATCGTAATTTACCCTCTTATAATGGTGTATTTTAGTAAAGTCGTAAAAATAAAATTTTATTTAAAATAGAAATTTTAGGATATAAATTTAAATTTAAATAATTTAAATAATTTAAATAATTTAAAAAATTTTCATTGAATTGATTAAGCGATTATCGAGAAGTCATTGCTCATAATAAAATAAGCTTACTTGAATTTTTTAAAACTTGAATGAGACTATCTCGAAGTTACCAGACCAAATTCGATAGAAAATTTTTTTCTAATTCTACAGATTTTAAAATGGCAATAAAAAAGGTTCATTAAATTTTATCAGGCGAATATTCAAAATTTGGCGCATCTCTATTTGAATTGTTTGCTAACTTTCGAACAATATACTGTATCTTGACAAATACTTAATTAATCTAAATGAAAAATTTTTCATTTTAATTTTGCAAATTTATAGAATTAAAATAAAAAATTTTCATTGAATCTGTCTTCGTTCAGAGTTTAAAGAACTAATATTTGATCTTTCATAAACAATATATAGCTAATGAAATTTTTTTTTTGTTTATCTTCTTTAGCTTCGCCTTTATTAAAGTTCAGATACTAGTCGTTTCGTCTTCATCAGGGTTTTATCTTCACTAGTTCATCAGAGGTTTCTTCTTTAACTAGGGGTTTTGTCTTTTACCAGAGTTTTACCTTTCACCTTTCGTTAGAAGTTTTGTCTTTTGCTAAAGTTTCATTAGTTTCATTTTTTTTTGTATTTAGATTTTGTCTTTTGCTAATACTTGTTTGAATTTTATGCCAATAAGTTTAAGAGAGTTAGTAGTATTTAGTTTAAGAGAAGTATTGTTTTGGTTAAGATTGTGATTAACTTGGTTTATAAATTCCTTTTAAGTTTTTTTGTTCATAAAGTTATAGTCAAAAATTCTTTTGTTTGTTTTAAATTTTTACTTTTATTTTGGTGAGTTAACATAAAAAAATAACTATGCAGATATAAGTATTATAAGAGAGGAATTTTATTTAAATGATATTAGCTAATAAATTTGCAGAATTAGATATAATATATTGTATAACAAAAACAAAGAAATTTTTATAAAAATACTAATATCTCAAAAATTTGTTTATAAAACTATCTTTTGTATTATAACAAAAAAATTTTTTTGCTAAATTTTATATATACTAATGCTTAAATAAAACCTTAGACCATGCTCTAACTCCAAAGTAAAAAAAAGAAGTTTTGTAAAATATAATTTACTTTGTTTATTTTAAAACTAGTAATTTTTTTTCTGATAGTTGTAGTTATTCTTTAAAAAATATATAATTTAGATTAATTATTTTAATATTATTATAAAATAATTATTATATATTAGTTTTAGTTGTAATTTTTTTAAAATTATATAATTATTTTAAATATTTTTTTACTATAGGCTTTCTTATATATAGCTATTTAAATAAATAGGGATGAGTCAATAGAAAAGAGACAAATTTTTTCTAAGTAAAAGTTTTCTTAACTTTAAGCTTAAATATCTTAACAACTAACTAATTAAATTTAATAATTTTTATTTTATTTTAATTCTATATAATTTT